ATTCAGTTCAGAAGGTTTAGAGCTGAATTAAAAGGTTAGCAAATTCCTTGAGAAAGTTTCCAGAAAACCTAAAATCTGCTAAATGCACGAATGTGAATCATTCAACCATACTTTCTGACAATTCAAAGAGTAAAATGAATGGAAATTTTAAGGCAGAACTTTTTGAAAACTTGGGTACACCGTGCATAGTTTTGCAAAGTTTTCAGCATCATTAACCTGTTTAGTACAGTAAGCCAGAAGATTCTGTTTCATTAGCAACTTGAAATTTTCAGAAATTTCAACCGAACTTGTTTAGTCAAACGGAATGCACCCAAACTTTAGAGTGTTTTCAGTTGACATTTTTCTGTGTTACCATGCAAACTTTCCTTGGGAGAGAAGAAATAAATGTGTGATGAGGCCAAACAAAGAAAAAAAATAAAACAGACTAAGGAAAAAACAAGCAACCGCCAGGATTCAAGCCAGGCAGGTGCACATTGTTTTGGGGAATTATGCAGAAATAACCACATTATGGCTCTCGAATTGTTAATAATTAAGCTAGCTGTATTGCAGCATGAGTGCGGCATGATCACCAGCAGTGGCTTGTGAAGACTATAAACTTCTGGCGTTTGTAACTCTTATCAGAAAGAGAGAGAACAGTCAAAGTGGAAAAAAAAAAAAAAAGAAAGAAAAAAGAAAAAAAACAGTCAAATTCCAGATTCCTTTTTCTGGTTTTTCGCTTCCCGATGTAATTTTTCCGCGTTCAACGAGCACGTGGTTTGGCGCACTAGTTCCCAGATCACAGTTGTTCCAAACGAAAAAGCGCGGTTACTTCGAATTGTATTTGCATCAACTTTGAACAAAACGTGCAACTTTCACATCTTTTGCCAGCTGTCCGGGTTTTTGCTCTAGATTGGAGGCAACTATAAACAGTGTTTCTTTCCCAGTCGAGAGAGGAGTTCCCAAAAGGTAAGAATCTACGAGTTTACTGTGGCTACGTGGGCTCAAACGTTCTGTTGCTGTGTTTGCGCGTAAGTTATTTGTTTCAATTCGTACGCGGCCAGTGCAGAAAAACGTACGGAAACAAAACACTCAACGATTTTGCACTACATGGAATCACTAATTAAGCGTAAGAAAGAGTTATAACAATATTTGTCCCCTTTATTGACTGCTGGGCAAAAAAGCTAAGTATGGAACGCAATAAGTTTTTAGACGTCCTCGATTATTCCCATATATATTCAAGTTGTTCAAGGAAAACCTTCACCAGGGGTAATCGGCTCGATGTACAGCGGTCGCAAAACAAAGCGTAGTTTACTCTCAGCTATCCTCAGCTATGGTTATAGAAAAAGATTGACTGCTAGCACAAAGAAATGTCAAAAAATGTAATACTCTTCTTTAAAACTTAAAAAAGGCACCTGGACCCCAGTCCTCATCAAGGGCCCAATCCCGCTTCCGACCATAACCCCGGCCCTTATCCTTGCCCTTGCCGCGGCCCTTACCTCGGCCTTCATCCTTGACCTTACCCTTGCCTCGTCCACCTCCATCTGGTAATACAGAGTCGTCTTTCACGAGGCCAGCCAGTATCTTATTGTAGGCGTTGACTTTGTCGTTCATCTTCGATATACAAGGTGATGAGAATCGCTCTCCAAAGGCTTCAGAATCGCAGTCAAATATCTCAAAAAACCGCCGGACATCTTCTTTGTCTTTAGGGATCTCCCTCTTTCCTTGCTTTCGGCAGCCCATCCACACTTCCGCCGCGTATTCAGGATTTGAGAAGCCTTCTCCATCGAACTCCACCAATCCGACTGTTTTTTCGGTTGGAAGGTGTCCCCTGATAAGTTTCATGGCATTGAACATTCTCCACATGTACTTGCTACTCTTCAGTAAGCACTCCTCCAGAGCGTCGCAGTGGTGGTACTCTTTGTTAGCCTCGCCCCAATTTTCAATCATGGATACCCACAGGTCTACAGTTGACAGCGATATTGATTTCTCCATTTGTGTGACTCCCACAACATGGCGTATAGCACCACGGGTGTGATAAGCCTCTGCCGCGTAGATCAGG